TTCCGAAGAGCACTTCGGAACCGTACAGGCCATCAACAGCTGACGCGAGAGTCGCTATCCCTTAAAGCACATTGTCACAAAAGACACAACAGATCGACTAATAGACTATAAATACAGATTATTACATCCTTCAAGAGTTAGAAATCCGATCATTAATCATTCTCACGTGTGACTAGCACGTCTACAGCTCCCCTTACATAATTAAAGACACAATTGATTACTTAATAAATTCCATTAAACATCTTACATCATATCAAGTATAGTTATTCATACACCAAGCATACTTGATTCAAACACCATCGTTCATGCTGCCTCACAAGCATGATTGACTGACTGCATCAGCTGATATTTACAACATCAGCATTACCTCAACTTCAAGACACAGTAAATCCATAGCAGCTACAATAATTTAAGAATACAAGAATACACCCTCACTACTTCAATAGAATTATTTCCCTCTACATCTATTATTATATGTTATTACTATTATTATAATCATTTACAATAATAAACATTGTTTTACTAAATACACGATATTTTTCAGCCTTATCACTTATTATTTCCTTTGAAGTTATCCTGCCAAGAAACTAATCCACTGAACTATTGAATTGGCAGTTCGAGCCATAAATTAAACCTTCATAATCGAACAAGTATTATTTTATATGATGTTAATGGTAATATACTGTTAATTGCTTACCACTAATGGAACTTGTAAAAGAGAGGATAGTTCATCTTGATCTTGAACTGATGTCTTAGGGTGTACAAGTCCACCTTGATTAGATAAAACAGAATAAGAACCTATTAAAACATTACTCGCAATAGTTTGTTTAAATACTTCCACATTTAAAGTATCTGATAAAATTTCTTCGGTTTCCTGAAATATATATATTATTAATAACAAATATAATTTCTAAATTATTTTATTATATGAATGTATTTTAAATATAAAATTATAAAAATATAATAATATATCGCGACATTTAACATAGCATTTAAAAATAGATTATAATTAATATACTACGATTATTATTAAACTTTGAATAATTGTTTGAAATTTTATTGTATGTGCACAAATATTCATTATTAACTTACATCCAAACATTTATGTTAGCGTGCGATATGTAAATATATTTATATGTAGAGTTCCGATAGGTTATAAGGTTTTTATTTAAGATTGTAAAGTATTTATAATATTATTAAATTACGCTTAATTAACTGTCTAAATCCATATATATATATATATATATATATATATATATACAGAAAATAAACTATAACATATTATTCGAGATTGCGAGAACCTGTTCCAAGTTGATAAACATCTGGCAATCCCAAAATCATTAAACAGTGACTCGGGAAAACCCAGCTCATTAGGCATCTGGAGAGAGCCGCTACACCAAAAATAAAAAATCTAACGACATGCGAGAGTGCTCTCCGATTGGATACAAAAAAATAGAAGGGATCCCAAATGGACACCATGGTCAGTGAAATATATTAAGAGGGACAACCATAACATTCCAGAACTCATGCTGAATTCTTCAAGAAAGAAGGAAGAAAGGAAAAGGAAGTTTCCTCAGCTGAGTCCGAGCCATGTCTTCGTTTGTAATCTAATCAACTCAACGGCGCCATAGCCACCATCTCCAACACAAGGTCTCTCCAAGAGCCACGTCACCGAGCGTACTTCAAGGATCAAGGCCGCTTCAAAGGTACATGCAACTTTATTCTAACTATTTCTACTGCCTATACCCAAGAAGAATCTCGCTTGTGCCCCACGGGTACGAAGCACACATTGGTAAGCCAATCTTCGCACCATTTAACGACAACCTTGCCAATCCTACTTCTAATCTCACTCGTGCATCACGCGCTCGAAGCCTATCTCCGCGCCATTCAGCGCACATCTTATAGAATCAACAACAGCTCGTGCCCCATGCGCACGAAGCAGTGGCAAATTTACCACGCGGCACTAATCGAAGAAGTTGTAAGAGCTTTACAACTTCTCACTTCTAAGGGTAATCTACCACCAAATTCACTACGTCACGAAGATCCGAAAACATATAACCCCCTACCTCCGCATGAAGTGCATGCTAACGCCAAGTGTCCACCGCCATAGAACTCCAAGAGTTCATCGATTGAATTCATCAAGGAGAACTACTCTTTTATTTGGAAAATAAATGGAATAAACAGTATGAAAAACAGATGTGTTAAATATTGAATTAATGCGTTATCCTTTCCACTTGCCCACACATTTATTCCACATAACACCTGGTGGTCTTTTAGTTAATTCTAAACACATATTTATGAAACTGAAAGCATGAGTACTACGTAATCATGGTAAATATTTTTAATATATGTATTTTTTGTTTAAATATTTTTAAAGTATTCTTATAATCGTCTAGTTTTCTTTAATTATATTATAGTTAAATTCTTAATAAACTTATTATCCAAATATATTTTATTAATTTAATACATGGCATTCTAGTAACTCTCATGGAATAAGTTTATTAATTAAAAAAAAAAGAAATTATATTATTAAAGAAGAAATTTCAACAAAATAATAAATTCAATCAAATTTTAAAAACATAAAAATTATCAAATACAATAAAATAATAAAGTAATTACGATTTATATATATTGAATATAAAGAAATTAAACTATATATTTTCAATAATCGACTTTTATTCATTCTTAAAACATTCATTTCTAATAATCAATCATTTTTAAATTAACCATTTTACTTTTATTTATGCTAAAGATTTACATCTAAAGGTTTTTAGTAATATACAGGAAATTAAAACACGCTTCAACCTTGTTTTTTCAATAAATTGTGAAGAAATTTATCATTTATATTTTCAAATGGAACTGTTTTTACTATTAAAAATAATATTTCCAGAAGTATTATTTATTGAATAATAAATAATAAACTATGATTATTGATTAGGCAATTAGTGTACTGTTATATGTAAACTGATATCTTAAAACTCTATATCTATTTTGAATGCTTTTTAAATGTGATTTCCTGAATTTTTAAAATGAATCGTATAAGCAGTAACGAATTTTTATTAATTCTATTTCGAAGTTGAATAATTAGAATCTTAGTCTGTGTAATAACAGAGTATGAGAGGTCTATTTTTTCAAGTTGAATTTAGAGGAAGATTACAATATTTCATCATGTAAATGAGACCATAAAATATTTAAATATCATAAAGTATTTAAAAGTTATTCGTTCAAAATAGAATTGCATCTAAAGAAATTTGTATTCTGTGATATTTTTTTCTTTTTTATGGTAATTTTCTTAAGGTACGGCTAGGTTGCTATCATACAACTTTAATTTACTTATAACGTGTATAGAAAATAATCAAATGCTTACAGTTATAAAACGATTTAATTAAATATTAAAATGTTAATTAAAATGTATTATACTCATATTTATTAGCGACTCATACTACTATCGTGAATTACATAACATCGAAGTCTTTCAATGTGATTAGTATTTAATGTATAAAAATTCTTTTTACATGTAATGTTAAGTATTGATATATGAAGTAAAGAAATAATAAAAATATACTTTATCAGAAATTAAACCATTTATTTCTAATAAAATAATAAAAATAGTCTTTTGTGTATAGGATTAATTGCTTAGGTGTGCTATATTACAATGCAAAAGTAGAACAAATATATAACTTACGCAATAAGCAATATATTGATATAAATTATAAAAAAGTAGTACTGTAGAAATATATGTATATGTATGACATGTAACGCCGATTCTGCACAGTACGATATGAAATTATATACAACATAAATCCCATTGGCGTGATCGCCCGAGAATACTAAATCAATTAGTTAATATGGATTAATATGATTTAAATTTCGTTTATTTTATAATATAATGATATACAAACGTGATTAATTTTATTGGTCTAGTCTGATTATCTAATTAAATAGCTAATTTTGGATGAACCCAGACAAGGGATAGAGCAAAAGTATACTTCACGTTAAAGTCATTATGAAAACACACTCTTAACTTCATACATGGATAGTGTTT